AGGAGGCAGGGGCAGGAGACTCGCTTGAGCCCAGGAGTTGGAGGTTGCTGTGAGCTGTGATGCCACAGCACTCTACCTAGGGGGACAGCTTGAGGGTCCGTCTCCAAAAAAAGGAAATATACTTAGCTGGGTGTCTGGCACACAGTGAGCCCATTCACTCAATGTTGGTCATCATCACCACTCAATTACACAACTCTGTCTTTAGGGTGAGTCTTCAAAATTTAAACTAAGGATTCCCAGCCCAAGAATCAAAACTCTTTCGCAACTAGATAAAAATTATAGCCCCAAAGCTAACAGAGTTCAGACCTCCGTGGACTCTTCTTGCTCGTTTATGACCAGGAAGGCATCCTCTGCAGCCTGCCGCTTGACATCTGCTATGGTTTGCTCCATTCGAGCTCGCTCAGTTGCAATCACTTCAAAGGCTTTCTGTTCTGCCTCAGCGACGGCCTTCTGGACTTCTGACATGGCCTGAATTTTCACCTTATTCACAGCTTCTTCTAGAAGAAAGTGACAGTAAAATCAACTGGCCAAGAAATCTCTTCCCTCCCACTCCACAGCAGCATTTCTAAGAAGCAATAGAGTTGAAACAACTCTTTACTAACAATGCACAAGGAAGACCACGTGATACCTACATTCACTTGAACAGAATGTTCTAGTTAGGTGTTGGCTGGATATGTAGACGGAGGTGGGCAACAAGCTAGGGCTGGGTATATCTGGGTGACTACACACAGTCGCACTCTCGTAACTGCTTGTGATCAAGGATAAAGGTGGTTCATGTGTATCATATATTGCAGTGTAAGAAACCAGAGTTCCAAGTAGAGTGGTCAGCTATTCAAGGAGCAAGGGAGAGTCAAGAAAATGTGTTGGCTTGAGATGGGAGGTAGAAATGAGTTTTTGGAAAGTCTTGCATGCCAAGCTAATGAATTTGGCCTTTCTCCCCCCTAAAAGAAATGCAAACTTCATTAAGGGTCCTATGCAAGAAGAAATTGAAAGAAACTGAAGGCTTGGCGCCTGTGGCTCAAGTGGCTAAGGCTCCAGCCACATACACCTAAGGTGGCAGGTTCGAATGCAGCCTAGGCTGCCAAACAACAATGACAGCTGCCAAAAAATAGCCGGGCGTTGTGGTGGGCGCCTGTGGTCCCAGCTACTTGGGAGGTGGAGGTAGGAGATTCACTTGAGCCCAGGATTTGGAGGTTGCTATGAGCTGTGATGCCACGGCACTCTACCCCGGGGGACAGATTGAGGCTCTTTCTCCAAAAAAAAAAAAAAAAAAAAGAAAGAAACTGAAGACAAAAGATAGCTACTGGGAGTAATCACAGTCACTAGTGTTTGTTTGCTTTTTTTTGAAACAGGGTCTTGCTCTGTCCTAGGCTAGAGTGCAGTGGTGTCTTCATAGCTCACTGCAACCTCAAACTCCTAAGCTCAAGCAACTCTTCTGCCTTAGCCTCCTAACTCCCAAGTAGCTAGAGTCATAGGCACACACCACATTTGGCTAATTTTTCTAGCTTTGTGCGGTTGTAGTATTGTACATAGCCAATGAGGTTTATCTAAGCATGATTATTGCTAATTTTTCTATTTTTGTAGAGATGGGGTCTTGCTCTTGCTCAGGATAGACTCAAACTCCTGGCCTCAAGTAATCCTGCCACTTTGGCCTCCCTACAGCTAGAATTACAGGTGTGAGCCTATGTGCCCAAATTCAATAGTTTTAGGGAGATCTTACACACATGCTAATCTAATCTTTTCCTCCACTTTACAATTATCTTCGTTTTCCACAATTCTATTCCACTTCTTATTATAATATACATTTTCCTATTTTCAACTGCAACAATTTTTCCAAGTTCCAAATTGTTTTTAATGGTATAATAATACAGTAGAAACTCCACAGGTGACCTCCTGCTTTAAGTTAACCTACTTTTCGTACAGTGAACATGCATCATATATCGTTATAGGAAACCTAGTTCCTTATGTTGACCACCTCCACATACTGAACAGTTTGCTGGAGTCCCCTAGGTAGTCAACTTACTGGGGTCTGTTCTACTGTATTTTGTTATGGTATCAAACTATAAATTAACATAATCACTCATAGATATTTGTGCATTTTCCAGGTCGCCTTTCCCTTGCTCCCAGAATATACCTTAAAACTGTATCTTTAGGACGGTGCCTGTGGCTCAAGGAGTAGGGTGCCAGGCCCATATGCCGGAGGTGGCAGGTTCAAAACCCAGCCCTGGCCCAAAATTGCAAAAACAAACAAACAAACAAAACAAAAAACTGTATCTTTACAGATACTTTGCTTCTTTTATTTTTTAATTTTTTGGCCAGGCCTAGGTTTGAACTTGCCACCTCCAGCATATGGGGCTAGTGCCCTACTCCTTTGAGCCACAGGCACCACCTGATACTTTGCTTCTTTTAACATGTTTTGTTTATGTCTGGACGATTCAAAAGCATTAAAAAAAAAAAAAAAAAAGGAATGATTCCCAGAATATGCAGGCGCTAACTCTTGGTAATAAACAATTTCTTACATAAACCTTTGATGAATTACAGTAGAACCTCCATAGTTGATCACCTCCCTAAGTTGATCTAATTTTCATAGACCAGACATGTACCACATATACTAAAGTCTAATTCCTATGTTGACCACCTCCATATGTTATAGTCCTTTGGGTGGTCAACTTACAGAAGTTCTACTGTATTTAGTGACATCTAAAATGGTCAAAACTGATTATTAAATTAGGGGCTAATTTATCAGGGATATTTAATCTTGAACTTTCCTGATTGCTACCGAGGAAAAACATCTTACAATATGTTTATTTGTGTATCTCACAGCATAATGTGTTCTTATCTTCTATTTGTTTACTTTATTGTTTTGATGCTCCTGAAAGAGTCTTTATGAATATAGTTATTAAATTTTTACAGAAAAAAATTATTTTAGGAATAAAACCAAAAAATATTGGACTTAAATAAAAAATCACTAGGAAGGGAATGCAAGTAGGTAAAGTCTTATTACTTGGATAAGCCTAACATGAGTCATGTGAGGTTAGTTTCACACTCTATCTTAACAGAATAGGCAGTCCTCACCCTCCTTTATTCTTATAGAAAGAGGCCTACCATGAACAGTCTTGACTGAGCTAGTTAACAGTGAAGGTGAAAGGAAGAGCAGAGGAATTGCAAAGCTATGCCAAGAGCAGATTGACAGCAGTGTGAACAGTCTGTGTAGATGCTAGCAAGGAGATCAGATGAAATAAACTCAGCCACAGGATCAGAATCAGGGCATGAAAGGGACTAGAGGGAGCCATTCCAAACTCCTGACCTGCAAAACAGCACAACAGGCAGTCTAGGAGACATGTGGGACAAGCTGGAGGGGGGAGAGGCAGGAACCTAGAGCTCTATGAGGAATAAGTTACTAGATAACCAAAGGACCAAGTTACCAATCTTTCCCCGAATTATGTGCTCCCTGCTCACACAAATTAGTGGGTACATGCAACCTGGGAGCAGTCAAACACATACCCGTTTTTTTCCAAAACTCCACAGGTACGTATCCTGTACCTGGCCTACTGCTGAATTCCCTCTGAGAATCTGCAGAACAAAGAGAAAGGAGTATAGAGTCAAAAGCTGTCTATGATCAACAGTTTTATTTTTATGAAACAAATTTTCTAAGATTTCTCATTCATCACTCACACTCAAACATCTATGTTTATTTAGCATAAAAATAAATTCTGGGATAGGCATGGCAGCTGACGCATATAATCCCAGCATTTTGGGAGGCTTCAATGTTCCCAGTAAGGCAGGAGGATCATCTGAGCCCAGGAGTTTGAGGATGCAGTTAGCTGTGAATGCATCACTATACTACATGCCCTAGGTTAACAGAGTAAGACCTTGTCTCTAAAAATAAAAAAATATTTTAAAATTTTCTGATAAGGACTAAAAACCGGATTAAAATAGTACACCTAATTTTTAGTTTTAAAACAGGCTCATGTAACCCAGCTCATGCTTATAATCCTAGCACTCACTCTAGGAGGCCAAGGTGGGTACATTGCTTGAGCTTAGGAGTTCGAGACCAGCCTGAACAAGAATGAGACCTAATTGCTAGTAGAAATAGAAAACTTATCAGGCATTTATGGTGGGCGCCTGCAATCCCAGCTACCTGGGAGGCTGAGGCAGGAGGATTGCTTAAACCCAGGAGCTTGAGGCTGCTGTGAACTGGATTGACACCATGGTACTGGAGCCTGGGCAGCAGAGTGGCATGCCTAAACAAGCAAAAAGCAATCCCACACTAACATCAAATATTAATAGTATTTCAAGGTAGTGAGATTAAAACTGATCTTCACTTTTTTTTTCTGTTCTTCTTACCTAATTTTTCCCTTTCTAAACCTATATACTGGCATCATCCTGGTTTACTGCAACCTCAAACTCCTGGGTTCCAGATATCCTCCTGCCTCAGCCTCATGAGTAGCTAGTATTATAGGTGCAAGCCACCACATCTAACTACTTTTTCTATTTTTTGTAGAAAGGGGGTCTTGCTCTTGCTCAAACTGGTCTCAAAACTCCTGAGCCTCAGAGAGTGCTAGAATTACAAGTGAAAGTCACTGCACCTGGACTTTTAAGGTACTTCTTAAAATATAAATATATAAATATAAGCACATAGATGTTTACGTGTCTGTGTGTTATATCTAATTTACCTGTACCCATCGTGCATAAGTCTCTGGCACTGCTCTGTAGATAAGTCAGGGAATACAACTTTTGTTTCTTGGCAATTCTGAATCCCTATATGTGATTTAAGGCAGTTTTCTTTAAAGTTTCTTTTTTTTTTTTTTTTTGAGACAGAGCCTCCAGCTGTCCCCCTGGGTAGAGTGTCGTGGCATTACAGCTCACAGCAACCTCCAACTCCTGGGCTCAAGCGAGTCTCCTGCCTCCGCCTCCCAAGTAGCTGGGACCACAGGCGCCCGCCACAACGCCCGGCTATTTTTTGGTTGCAGCCGTCATTGTTGTTTGGCGGGTCCGGGCTGGGGATTCGAACCTGCCACCTTAGGTGTACGTGGCTGGCGCCTTAGCCGGTTGAGCTATAGGCGCCTAGCCCCCTTTAAAGTTTCTTAAGGAGCCAAACTAAACTAAGAACAAAAAGTAAGTAAAACAGTACATTTCAAAACATATCCCAAAGAGGCGGTAATTTAATGTTGTTAGTACCTGGGAAATACTTTCTTCAAGCTTTAAAAAATGTTTCCAATCTACACGTAAAATTTACCATTTTAAAGTGTACAATTCAGTGACATTTAGTATATTTGCAAGAGTGTACAACCATAACCACTACCTAACTTCAAAAAAAAAAATATATATGTATTTTTGTAGAGACAGAGTCTCATTTTATCGCCCTTGGTAGAGTGCCATGGTGTTACAGCTCATAGCAACCTCCAGTTCCTGGGCTTAGGTGATTCTCTTGCCTCAGCCTCCTGAGTAGCTGGGGCTTCAAAATATTTTTATCACCCCCCCAAAAGGAATCCCTTACAGACTAGTAAGTGTACAATTTTGACAGTATTAGTGGTTTCTAGGGGACTGGGCTCTCTAGGAAGTGCCATTACCATTGCTGATAAAAAGGAAAGAAACTGAAGGGCACTCTTTGAAACAGATTAGGTTCCAGATTCATGTGGCCATTTGTCAAACACTCAGAAACTATAGGGAAAAATCTAGGGCTCGAATAGCCAAAGGAACACAAGCGAAAGAAAACAGAGTGGATCATTTTCAAATGAGTCTCATATAAAAAAAAAAAAAAACAACTAGTGGGGAAAAGGGTCCCCACAGAGCAATCAGCCAGTGTTAAATAACAGATAAAACAGTTTGCTTGTGGGGAACATGGGGAACCCATGACCAACCAAGAAAAAGCCACTTTACTTCAGTCATCAGTATGACCATGGTCATATCCCTTTGCCATCTACCCCACTGTCAGCATTTTATTTCCCAGATAGAAATAAAAGGTGAGATGCACTTGACCCTAAAGGATCATCCCAGTATGGTCTGGAAATGTTCCCTGGAAGCTGGGAACATTTTCATTATATTTCCAGAAGCCAGAGTAACTGGCTGTCAAAGTGTTGGGATTACAGGTATGAGCCACCGCACCCGGCTTACTTTCATATGGTTCTGTATTGTTTGACCTTTTTACAATGTAATTAATTTTTTAATAATTCCATTTAAAATAATATCCAAGGAAATGAAGTGAATCTAATGTTACCAGTTATTAAAGCACATTCTAAAATTATAATAATAAAAAAGTGTAATATTATATTGGGAAGCAATATAACATAATTGCTAAAAGTGTGTGCTGGTTCTGGAATCAGAATGCTGCATGCCCAATCCTAACATACGAGCTGTATGGCCAGTTTGGCCATGTTTTTAATTTATTTAAGCCTTGGTTGTGCCTTCTGTTAAAAAATATAATAGAAGTCCCTGTATCTTAATAGGTAGTTGTGAGAAGCAAACAAGACATCAGGTGGTACCCATAGCTCAGGGAATAGGGCGCCGGCCACATACAACAAGGTAGGCAGCTTCAAACCCAGCCGGGGCCAGCTAAAACGACAATTACAACAAAAAAATAGCCAGGCAAGGCTCTGCACCTGTAGCACAGTGGTTACGGTGCCAGCCATATACACTGAAGGTGGTGAACCTAGCCCAGGCCAACTAAAAAAAAAAAAAAAAAAAAAAACTGCAAAAAAATAGCCGGGCGTTGTGGCGGGGACCTATAGTTCAAACTACTTGGGAGACTGAGGCAAGAGAATTGCTTAAACCCAAGAGTCTGAGGTTGCTGTGAGCTGTGAAACCATAGCACTCTACTGAGGGTGACATAGTGTGACTCTGTTTTAAAAACAAAAAAAGACCAAGTGCAGTGGCTCTTGCCTGTAATCCCAGCACTCTGGGAGGCAAAGGCGGGTAGATTGCTTGAGCTCAGGAGTTCGAGACCAGCCTGAGCAAAAGTGAGACCCCATTTCTACTAAAAAAAAATAGAAAAACTGAGGCAAGAGGATCCCCTGAGCCCAAGTTGGAGGTTGCTATGAGCTATGATGCTATGGCACTCTACTCAGGGCAACAGTTGAGACTCTGTCTCAACAAACAAATAAACAAACAAAAAAACCCCTAAGACATCACATGTAAAAGGTTAGCATTGGCTAGAACACAGTAAGCACCCATATATGGCTATTATGAAAAGTGATAACTAATAAAGTCAGATCAGGAAAGGAAGCAGAAGCACTTAATAGAATGTCGTATATGATAATTATGTCCTTTTAACAGATAAAGGATGGTTTCCTTAACTGGTGGTGAAAAAACTTTGACTTTTGTATATCTCAAACTTTTTTAATGACCCATATATTTATCATCCAAATTGTTCTCAGTTTTAAGAATAAGGGAGGTAGTAGTAATAATTATGACAAGATACAGGTGTAAACTAAAACTGTCCCAAGGAGATCAGAACACATGGTCACCCTAGCTAAACTCTCGAGCAAAGGCTGAGAAAGATGAATAGTGGTATTCATTGCACAGCTGGCTCATGACAACATTCACTCTGTACCCTATGCTTTTTCACCTGCACACCTGCTTTAATGGAAGATGTGTGATTTGGATGGTGAATTTTAGGAAAGTTTCTGCAAGTTGTTGTAAGGAATATTTTGCAAAGGTTTAGGTGGTGAAGATGACTAAACATTAGCTTTGTCTGTTTTTGAAGGTTTTGTGAAAGGAATTACTATAGGTATTTCTTTGATGTCTTGGTGTGCTAGATAGGCCACATAACAGTGCTAAACTCTGGGTGACTCAAGAGCTACTGCTATGGGTAGGGTGGGGGAGCAGAATTTCTTAACTACCAAAGTTTAGACATACTATAGCAATTCTGGCTTTGCCTCAGTTTTTTTGGGTAGTCTTTCTGAAACTAACAGCTGTCTTCTATGTGGAACATGCTAGGTCTGTCATAAGAAATTTATTCTCCCTGGTGAACATTTGGGAACTTAGAGTAGGTGGGCGGGGAAGAAGTCAGATCACAGATGGCCTGTCAATCAGCTGAGCCTGTGATAGGGCATCTCTTCAGTTAGCGGGTGAATGTGATGGAACATTTTTTTAGAAATAACTGTAGCTTCCTGGATGTATTCTAGATTGAGGAAAGAGCTGCTCATGTCTCTGCTGCTTCAGGCTGGGAAAAGGCAAGATGGTACAACTCAGTTTGGCAAAGTAAAAGCTTTTGTAGGAGGCCACCAGGCTATAGTTGGTAAGTGCTACTTTCCTTGATGAGGAATTGGGGAAAAGGGAAAGGAAGGCGATGTGAACACTTTTAGGGCTACTACGAGGAATGAAAGTGATGACGCCAGAGTACGTAGTACATTCAGTCAGGCTGAATTTAACAAACACTCTTTGGTCATCATCTAGCACATGAATATGTAGTAAGAGTTCGAGAAGAACGAATTCATTTTCTCATTCTTCAAGAGGGAGAATTGACATTTCTTCAACATGACTGGTACTGAGTATTTCACATATTTTTCCATTTACTCTCCATAATCACTTGAGTCTCTTATACTCCATAATTTAGCACAATTCCCTTTAAAGTAAAATAGAAAAGGGCTTCCTGACCATACTAGGTGGAGACCTAAGGCCGATGTTTATTCTACGTTCCCTTCAGATCCCTCTTACCATTGCTGAGAGAATCTGCAGTCCCAGGGCTGTGCTGTCTAGAGACCAACTCCGTCCCCGTTTTTCTCATCTCTGTGGTTTCATTACATCGTCTTTTCCAGTAGTTGAGTTCTTCGCGATCAGATTCCTGACAACGCCGCAGAACTGCCATGGAGCGTCGTGTTTTCTCTACCATTTCCATAATGCAATTCAGGGCCTGAGCCAGACAGGAAGTGGGGGAGAGATGAGATAGAAAATTCAAACAACAAACATTAAAAATCAAGGACAGGCAAACACAATATAAAAAATTAAAGTTTAAGCCTTAATTTTATGTTTAGAAGCCTTATTATAGCTTCTTTGGAAAATATACATATATATACACACAGTTATTCATTTCTTTAAAATAAGGCTTTTTTGATTTTTCAAAGTTGATGCAATAACATGGTCCTTTAAATTACAGTAAATCTCTGTCTAAATATACCAAGTCATCTGATAAAGCTAGAGGTTTTTTTATTTTTATTTTTTGAGACAGAGCTGTCACCCTGGGTAGAGTGCGGTGGCATCACAGCTCACAGCAACCTCCAAATCCTGGGCTTAAGTGATTCTCCTGCCTCCACTTCCCTAGTAGCTGGGACTACAGTGCCCACCACAATGCCTGGCTAATTTTTGGTTGCAGCTGCCATTGTTGTTTGGCAGGCCTGGGCTGGATTTGAACCTGCCAGCTCAGGTGTATGTGGCTGGTGCCTTAGCAGCTTGAGCCACAGGCGCCGAGCCAAAGCTAGAGATTTTTATGAGAACTCAGTCAGAGAAATAAAGACCAAGGACAACTGTTATTCAAGAAGGAAAAGCTACTGCATGTAAATTTCAAATAGGCACTACATCTTATTTTGCCTTTATAGTGGGAAGGGAAACTCATTCTTCAACAGGAAAGAGAATTCAGGTTTCTATTCTGTACCAGTGTACTAATTCTCATTTGTACTTGGAAGAGCTCTATTTATTTAACATATCCTGTGATAAGCACTTTATATATTATTATAGCTCTCCTGTGATTTTAAGTAATGCAGCATTATATATATATTTTTAAAGATACAAAAAATTAAGGCTAAAAGAAGTGAAGTAGGAGCCTGGCCGAGTGGCTCAACTCCTGTAATCCCAGCACTCTGCGAGGCCGAGGCGGGTGGATTGCCTGAGCTTAGGAGTTTGAGACCAGCCAGAGTGAGACTCCATCTCTAAAACTAGCCGTGTAGCTTGGCACCTGTGGCTGAAGCAGCTAAGGTGCCAGCCACATACACCTGAGCTGGCAGATTCGAATCCAGCCCGGGCCTGCCAAACAACAATGATGGCTGCAACCAAAACATAGCCGGGCTTTGTGGTGGGGGTCTATAGTCCCAGCTACTTGGGAGGCAGAAGAGGCAGGAGAATTGCTTGAGCCCAGGATTTGGAGGTTGCTGTGAGCTGTGATGCTACAACACTCTAGGGTGACAGATTGAGGCTCTGTCTCATAAATAAATTAAATTAATTAAATTAAACTAGCCAGGAGTTGGGATGGAGATCTATAGTCCCAGTTAATAGGGAGGCTGAGGCAAAAGAACTGCTTAAGCCCACAAGTTTCAGGTTGCTGTGAGCTGTGATGCCATGGCACTCTACCGAAGGTGACAAAGTAAGACTGTGTCACAAAACAAAACAGAGGTGAAGTAACTTGCCCAGCTCATGAAAGGAAGCAGCAAAGCTGGGCCTTAAACTCATAAATCTCTGAGAGTTTTTATTTATTTTTTAGTGACAAGGCCTTGCTATGTTACCCCAGGCTAGCTTCTAGGCTCAAGCAATCCTCCTTCCTTGAACTTCTGAGTAGCTGGAACTATAGGCACCAGCCACCACACCCAGCTACAAAGCGCCCAGTTTGTAACCATTATACCCAGCTTTGCTTAGTTTATTACCTGAAGTGATTATCTCACCACAAAGATTTGTAAGTGACTCTATAGCTTTCTAGCTAAGAGAGTAGCAGATAAACCAGCTTTTATTAAAAGCAAAGAATGTGGGCAGTGTCTGTGGCTCAAAGGAGTAGGGCGCTGGTCCCATGTACCGGAGGCAGTGGGTTCAAACCCAGCTCCGGCCAAAAAAAAAAAAAAAAAGCAAAGAACGTCATGTATTATTATATTAACTTCAAGCACATATGCTCCATTAACTACTGATAGTATTAAGAACCAAAAGTAATAAAGAAGTAGGGTGCCTATAATCCCAGCTACTCAGGAGGCTGAGGCAAGAGTATCACCTAAGCCCAGGAGTTGGAAGTTGCTATGATCTGTGATGCCAGAACATTCTACTGAGGGCAATAAAGTGAGACTCTGTCTCTAAAAAACAAAACAAACCTCCCCCCCCCAAATCCCCCCAAACCAAAAGTAATAAAGAATTAGGGAAATCACACACTATAAGGTTCTTACATGGTCAAGATGTTTCCATTCATCAGCCCACTCCCTTTCTGTCAAACGGTGGTCTACCAACTCATCTTGATAGCTTCCATTTAGACCTATTACAAATTAGACATTAAATTTGAAGATAATGGGAAATAGTACAAAATTTTACCTAGTAAATATACACACATTCATAACAACTTTGAACATGCTAAGGCAATGATTTTATGAGGTATGGGTACCACAAAATGATATATACCCCCCAAAAATCACTATTCAGATTATATAAGAACTCAAACAAATCAACTATGAAAGATAAATAGCCCAAAAGAAAGAAAGGGAAAAGAAATAAAAAGGTATCTCATAGATAAAAAACCTGGCGGTACCCCATAGCTCAGTGGGTAGGGTGCTGGCCACATACACTGAAGCTGGTGGGTTCAAACCCTGCCCAGGCCAGCTAAAACAACAACAGCAACAAAAAAAAATAGCCAGGTGTTGTGGCATGTGCCTGTAATCCCAGATACTTGGGAGGCTGAGGCAAGAGACTCGCTTAAGCCTAAGAGTTTGAGGTTGCTGTGAGCTGTGATATCATGGCACTCTACCCAGGGCAACAGCCTGAGACTCTGTCTCAGTAAAAAAAAATGAACCATATATCTATGATCCAAAAACATCTAAAAAGATACTCTAACTTAGCAGTCAGGCAATGCATAAAAACTTCAATGAGACAGCATTTCACATTTAATATGTCACACAAAAAAGTAAAACATTAGATTATACTAAGTGTTGGCAAGGATGTGGCACAATGCAAATGCTTAACCACTGAAACTAGAGTGTATACTGGTACAACTACTTGGAAATACCTTAGCATTACCAATTTTTTTTTTTTTTTTTTTTGGCATGGTATGATATATTGACTGTGTGAATCAAGAGTATATGTATGCTGAATTTAGAGTTGTCAACTATTTTTAAAAACTCATGTCACATACAACAACACTGCACATAGTGTTTAAATTAATAAAACAACACATCTGTTATCAGTCTGAATGTACAGGTATTATATTCATAGTGATTCTGCATCAGTGCAAGAATCTGCTTCTCGGCTCGGCGCCTGTGGCTCAAGCGGCTAAAGCGCCAGCCACATACACCTAAGGTGGCGGGTTCGA